GAGGGGTCGGGAATGCGGAACCGGCCGGGCTGCCAGCTCCAGACGTCAAGGTGGGAGGAGAAGAGGGGACCGCAGGGGAGGAGATCGCAGCCGGCGCGGGGGAGGCGGGACCATTTGGCGGGCAGAGCACCGAGGCTCCCCCGCCTGCTCCCGCCAGGCACCCCTCTCGCCGACTTTCAGCTCGCCCCGAGACGAGTCCAGCCCGCATGGAAGCAGGACCCCAAGCATGTGCAGAATGCCAGTTCTAGCCTACTGTAGCTGGAAGGAGAAGACTTCCAGGTCAAAGGGCGTGACTTCCAAGCAGGCTGCAACCTCGCTCAGCACCTTCTCTTTCGGAAGGAAAGCTGTGAGCCGGGCTGGGCGGTTTTTCCGGATGATAAAAATACTTCCCTTTAGTTAGTGCCGGCCGTTCGCCCAGCGAAGCAGAGCATCCAGTTCAGGGTCACTTGATTCTAAAGCATTTGCTCAGGAAAATGTGTAGGCCAACAACTGACCATGGCTGTTGGATGGGGTGAATGGGAGAGCAAGAGTCGGTTACTCATAATCAGCTGAGGAACTCCGATTGCATTCCTGCGCTCTTCAAAAAATTTCCAGCTACTCAAATCAGTGTTCGCGCATTTTAATTCCGTGGGCATACAAGGCACTTGCTGTACTCTTAACTCCTTCCTCCGTACTGGAAGGGCATTTTGCTCCCCTCCCCTTCCCTCCCTAAATTTCCAAGTATCCGTGCAACAGCATAGGAAATGATCAGCCACCCCACCAACAAATATGACGAAAAAAATCATTTGCATTGGATAAGTTTAAGAGGGTAGACAATTCTTTCTATGCAATTTATGTTCTTGGATCAATAAAGCACCCCCCAAACATTCTGCTACCTTAAGTGAAGCTGGAAATGGGTGTGCATGTGCACCCACAAGTCCTATCAAATTAAATTGGTACCAAAGGCAAAAAAATCCCACAAAAATCCTCATTCTCCCTGGTAGAAAACAGATTAGAAAGAAATACATTATTTGCTTCTAACTTGGACTTCACGCCAAAAATCTCGGACCGGAGGCAATCTGCACAATCTGCTTAAAAAATATAGAGCTGACAGGTGACTGAGGCTGTGTATTTCTACTTTTCATTTCTTAATGAAGGAAAAGTCCTTTTGACGCTTGAAAGTTTCAACAACTTAGTCTCAGTACTGTAGTATATTCTGTGAAAGCACTTTAAGATACTTTATTTGGGCTCAATTTCAATAGCTGGCCCTAGGTAAGCATGGGGAAACTCATTTTATTTTTGTATAGCATTTTCTGTTAGAGGATAGTCTGCTGCTTCAAACTGATATCTACACGCCAAAGGTTTGATACTGTCATGAGTATATCCCATCTCTAGAGGTAGAAGAGTCCCACTTGCTAAAAAACCCTGTTTTTTTCCATCCATCCCACCTAATGAGAACATATCCATGCCTAAGATGGCAGTGCAAGGAGGGAGTATAGAAAACAGATCCTCTTCCACCTCTGCAGCATGCAAGTTACTCATGCTCTTCAGAGTACAATTAACTTGCATATTCCAGAGAAAAGGGCTGGATGGGATATAGGAACCAAGCATTAATTTCCTATTTGGCTGTCTGATCGTGTACAATGCACTCATGTTGGATGGGGGGGAGACAGGAAAAAGGGCTTTACTGAGTTTCGTGGGATTTCCTCCACATACAGACATTATAGCTACATCCAACTGGATTTCCTCCAGAAGTTTTAGACTAATATTCTCATAATCCCTTTCGATTGATTATGGTAATTGGTATTGATCAGAGTTGGATTTCAAAACACTGGACTGTCCTGGATTTTCCAAGATGCATTTTTCTCTAAATTTCACTTTCCTTTCCTTAATCCTTTTCTGCCCCTTAGAAATTGGGATATAAATGGACCAATCTATCAACAGATGCTATAAGCCTACTTCTTCCATCTCTGGAAGTTTAGTTTCATATAAAACTAAGATATTTATGTGCAGAAATTTAAAATTTGGCCTCAGGGTCGCTGGGAGTCATGCACCATATAGATTAAATAAATTATTATTATTGAACTCAGTTTTTTAAATGACACATTTGTTTCTTAAAAAGTATATGTGACTGATAAGTAAATTAGAAAATCTAAGGGCTAATCCTCTTCCCTAGGAGTCATGCACTGGTTTGCAAATATGCAGAAAACGAGATAAAATGTATACTGAGGAAAAGTCAGAATTAAAATAAAATTAAATACATGAAAAGAATACACAGAAAAGCTTGTTCTATTTTTCTGTAACTTTGAGCTTGTTGCTGAACCCACTTTCAAATTAATCGGGAGATATTACAATCATTTGTATATTCTACTGTCACATAGTAGCATAAATATTCTGCCTTCCTGGGGCACATGATCTGCAGCCAAAATTGTTTGTACAAGAGACACAATATGGAAGTGATTTGGTAGATTTTTTTTTTTACTTCCCAGTGTAGCTTACACTCCTGAGAATTCCTGGTCTTCTAACCAAGAACTAGCCAGGTCCAAGCCTGCTTAGCTTTTCAAGATTGTCCAGCGTTGGTTGGCTGCTGCTACCTAACAGGCCCCAGAAATATAACAAGGCTGCAGAATGAGGGAAATGACCACTGAAACTATGGAAGGGAGTGGATACCAAATGGTCACATAAGCCTCAGTGCAAAAAATCACATATATTTTTGTTAAGCTCTTGCTTACATGACACAGGGCTGTTTTCTTAAATCTTGAAACCAAAGGAATAGCAGCTCAGTTCAACTTCACCTCATTGCCATCAATATTACATCTCCCCACCACCAACTTTTTAAAACTCAAATATAAAATACTCCAACCCATCCAAGAGATGCTGGCATCTAGGGCAGAAAATCTCACACGTTTCCCTTCCTCTTCTGACAAAACTAGAACACAATCAAATAAAATAAATTAAATTTGCACAACACTTAAAATTAGCTTCCCAAGATAACTGTTTCAGTCTGTTTAATAATAAGGCTAGCCTTGATGGATTTAATGACAATGGGAGAGGTCACTCAGGAGTAGAAGTACAAGGATAACAATGAAAACCTAACAGTGTTACCCAAGTCATTGGTATTGGATAATGGATGTTATCTTCAGCTTGCCATATGAAGACCTTGTAAGTGCACATACTTGATTGGACAAGATATTTCATTCTATTTGGCTTAAAAATGTAATGAAGGTATATTAATCACTTAATTTTATCAGCAGCAGAAATAAAGAGTATCCAAAGGCAACATTAATGAATTGGATGGCAAACAAGCCATTCCTTTGGATGAGTCCTTGATGGCAAACGATGCCTTTATTGGGGGTGGGGTAGGATTACATTTGGTTGGGGTCACACCAATAGGGCACAGCTACGAATTCCAATAGATGCATAGGAAGATCCACTCCATTAACTATTCCCAAATGACAGGGTTTTTTTAACTGAGTTTCTCTACTGTGATTGCTATTATTGAATATAATTTTGCTTTGTCTGGACAACAAAAAACTCAGTAAGAACTGGAAGAAGTTGCAATATTATACTGAAGACATTAAAGATAGATACATGGAGAACTTTAATGGAAATATGCAATTAATAAGTAATTATTGGAGAAACATTTTCGAGGAGACAGGATAAGTAATTAAGACTTCTAGCCTATATGCATTTACATTTAAGTGAAATCCATTAAATACAAGTAAATCTGTATTGGGTTGAACTGTCAAGATAGCCAAGCATTCCTAATTTATATTGGTATGCACACATAGCAATTTATTTACTGCAGTGAAAAGTTTTAGCCTATGACTAACCACGTGACTATATGAATGAGTACTTCCTTAAGCGTTGTCCTTCTGACTTCATTTCTCTCAAACAATAATTATATTTCTGATCAGGTCACAGCTTTCAGTTGGTAGAACAATGTAGCCATTCTTCTACCGTATGCCTATTATTACTGCAGTTTTCAAGGTGCGTTTCTACAAATTGCAATTGTGGTGGACGCAGATTTCCAAATGGCCATTAATGTTTAAAAACTCGGGAATCCAAACACATTTACGACAAGTCTAGGCAATGTCAGCTGTCTAATCAGGGGAGATTTCCACAGTTAGTGGAAAGAGGTTGACAGCAAGTCAAATGTGAATTACCAGTAGCATCACGTGTGGTCAGCTCTGCTTCATTCACAAATGGTTATCATATATCTAACAAAACTTTGGAATGTGACACTCCTATTTCTTATAAGTATGTTTATGTTTGTATAAAAAACAACCCGATGCCATCCAGAATTCTCAGTCATAATGAATCCAAAGGTAAAAGTTGATTTATAATGCCATCTGTCAGTTTGATCTGCCTCAGATTAATTTTCCCACTGTTATTTTGCCTACTACAAACTGCTCTCAACTCACTGATTTGAGATTACAGATAGCTGTTCCCTTTCTGAAACCACAGATTGCCTCCTTGCTCCTAGACCATCTAGGAACATTTGTCTGCATTAAATATTATTTGCCATCTGTTGCATAATTGCCTAAAAGCTATAGCTCTAGATTTTGTTCAAATTATTTCTCATTATTACTTCTGAAACCAGGCATTAGCACATCTAGAAATCTAGAGCTCTCATTATTTATCTTTCTACATGCCTTGAACATGATTACAACACCATTACTTAGATATCATAGCAGTGCTTATTGCTATTAAATCTAAGTGCTTATCCTAAACTACAGTTTGAGGAAAGAAAGGAGAAGAAAAGTATGCTTCCATTCTAATGG